AAAATAACTCCAGAAACACAATCCAAATGCACATGAAGAAAGCCACTTTGAGTGAATTCTTTACTGCAAGTACAGCAATATGTTGTATACATGTAGTATGCTATTTTCAATGAACCAAATGAACCCTGTACCTTAAGTCTGGCATTTGTTGGGTCCACCTGTGTGAGCCCTCCTCATGTGTACACGGAGTGAAGAACTCTGTGCGAATCTTTTGCCGCAAGTCTGGCATTTGTAGGGTTTCTCACCTGTGTGCGTCCTAATGTGATCACGAAGGGTGCCCCTTTTAGAGAAACGTTTCTCGCAAGTCTGGCAGCTGAAGGGTTTCTCACCCGTGTGCGTTCTTATGTGTTCAGGGAGATGGCCCCTTTTAGAGAAACGTTTCCCGCAAGTCTGGCAGCTGTAGGGTTTCTCACCCGTGTGCGTTCTTATATGTTCAGGGAGATGGCCCCTTTTAGAGAAACGTTTCCCGCAAGTCTGGCAGCTGTAGGGTTTCTCACCCGTGTGCGTTCTTATATGTTCAGGGAGATGGCCCCTTCTAGAGAAACGTTTCCCGCAAGTCTGGCAGCTGTAGGGTCTATCACCTATGTGAGTCCCCGCGGGTCTACGGAGGTCAGCACTAGCGGCTGAACTGCTGAAGCAGTGTTCCCCGCTTTTCTTGGTGGCATGGGTCCGCATGTGTGCCCGGAGGAGAGCCGCCCTCCTGAAGGCCGCCCCGCAGGTCGCACAGCGGTGGGGCGCCTCCCAGGCAGCGTCCTGCTGGCCGTGGTCCTCTCCGTCCTGCGCCTGTTCCCCTCGAGCGCCAGCAGCAACAACGGCAGGCGACGGCTCGGCGGCGGCTGTGGAGGAGAGCGTGGTGTGTGAGTGATCAGTCGGTATAGTTCACAGAGGTCGGGCTGGGTGCGGATGGCAGGGGGGAGGACTACCGGACGGGGTCTAGTCGGGCCGCATGGAGGTGGGTTGGGCTTCCGGCAAGTGCGCCTTGAACCTCCCAGCGTAGGCAACCCACCCAGGTGGGGCTACCTGCCCGCACGCGCTAACTGGCCGCCGTGACACTCACAGAGGGAGGCGTCCTGCAGCTCTGGCTCCCTATTCGTCTCCCAGCTGCCAGCTTTAATAAGCTTTAATGGCCGAAAGGTTGCAGCAAGAGGGTAGCGCTAGCCCCCCTCTCTTTCTCACACTCACTCGCTCCTGCACGTCCTCACGGCGAGGACGGCGGCGGAGGAGGCGCCCTGCAGCGCGATTAGAGAGTTCGCTCGCTCGCTCCCCGAGCCGGGCGCCGCCTTCTTATTTCACTGTATGGTGGCTTTACTTTTCTCTTACACACGCTATTCGGTTAGGATTTTCATTATCTCTTCACACTCTACAATTTCGTTCATTTTCAACATCCCCGAACAGTTAAAAGGGATTTTAAGCGCTAAGTGAGCGAGCGAGCTCACTCGCGCGAGTGAGCTCTCTAATCGCGCTGCTGCCCGAGGCCATCACTTTCGAAAAGATGGGCTCCCCACTCCTAGTCAGGTGGCTGACTCACGCCGCGCATTTTCTTACTGTACCGCATGCACGCGTGCGGGCAGGTTGCCTACTCGCACGAGGCCATAAGGCAAATCCACTCGCATCCTTGCATGCGGTATAGTGTGACTACGAAAAAGAGTGGCGCGAGTCAACCAACTAGTACAGCGAGTTAGCAAGTTGGCGCAATTTTTGACGAGTTTGGCGCGAATTTTCGCGAGTTGGACACGTGAATGTATGCTACGAGTTAGGTAGCGCTGGACCCTCGAAAGTGCCTTTCATGGGGAGCGCGCTGTCGCAGACTTGGAGCGGACCAGTGTATAGGTGTATGGGTAAGGTCGAAAGGTTGCACCACGAAGGTAACACGGGCCTTCAGCCCTTCTCTTTCCCCCTTCCCCCAGTCTCTCTCGCACCCAAGGTTGAATCCGGCGCTGCGGCTCGAAGGGGAACTCAAGCGCAGCTCAGATTCGTACCGACCTCATGTGCAGAGGCAAGCACGGTAATTCAATTTTTTGCTGTTTCTTGTTATACAGATTTATTGGGAAAACTACAACTAATGAGAGTAATAAAGATCATTCAAGCCAAACGGCGACCCAAAATGATTCACAAAACACTAAAATTACAGAGTAATTCAAAAAGAAAATCAACACAAATGTAGGAGAATAAAAACTTAAAATAACTACAGAAATAGATTGAATAAATAGGATTCGTTATGGTTACTATATTTCTAAGAACAATAATCCATGGTGGTGCCCGGAAAGATTTTCAAGCCCTGTTAAAGCAGCGCAGCTGCACGGCAGGACCGACATAGAAAAAAAAATCTTATCGGCCTGTTACTGGAAAGATAGGCACAACAAGGGACAACTTTGCCAAAAGTCTAGTAAATGTGGGTCTTAACAGTGGTGTTATGTACTCGTGTGTCTTTTGAGAAAAAAAGGCGTGGAGAAACATGTGCCACA